AGTGAAAACAAGGCCAGGGACAGACTGTGGAACAGACCATCAATTACTCCTATGCAAATTCAAACTGAAGCTGAAGAAAATAAAAACAAGTTCACAAGAGCCAAAATATGTCCTTGAATATAGTCCACCTGAATTTAGAGACCATCTGAAGAACAGATTTGATGCTTTAAACACTAAAGACCAAAGACAAGAAGAGTTGTGGGATGACATCAAGAATACCATACAGGAAGGAAAAAAAAAAGTCATTAAGACAAGAAAGAAGGAAAAGGTCAAAATGGATGTCAGAAGAGATACTGAAGCTTGCTGTCCAGCGTCAAGATTCTATAGCAAATGAAAGAAGTGAGAAGGTACAAGAGCTTATCAGAAAATTTCAAAGGTCAGCTCAAGAAGATAAAGTGAAATATTACAATAAAAATAAATGAACAAAAAAGTACAATTAAAAAAATAAAATATAATAAAATTTGGAAGGCAGCTATCTGGCTGACTGATTGGAAGAGATCCATATTTGTGCCCATTCCAAAGAGAGGTGACCCAACAGAGTGCGGAAATCATCGGATAATATCTTTGATATCCCGTGCAATTAAAGTTTTACTAAAGGTAATAGAGAAATGGCTGCAAGCATACGTTGGCAGAGAACTTTGAGAGTTTCAAGCTGTATTCAGAAGAAGCCATGGAATGAGGGATATCATTGCTGATGTCCAATGGATCTTGGCTGAAAGCAGAGAATATGGGAAAGATGTTTACCTATGCTTTATTGACTATGCAAAGGCTTTCGATTGTGTGGTTCATGACAAGCTATGAACAACATTGTGAAGTATTTTGGAACACTTAATTGTGCTTATAAGGAAATCTGTCCATGGACCAAGAGGCAGTTGTTTGAACAGAACATGGGAACACTGAATGGTTTAACATTAAGAAAGGTGTGCAAAGTGTTCTTCACCATACTTATTCAACCTGTATGCTGAGCAAATCACCCGAGAAACTGGGTTCTATGAAGAAAAACATGGCTTCAGGATTGGAGGAAGACTCATTAACAACCTGCGATATGCGATGATACAACTTTGCTTGCTGAAAGTGAAGAGGACTTAAAATATTTACTGGTGAAGATCAAAGATTACAGCCTTCGGTATGGATTGCATCTTATGTAAAGAAAACAAAAATCTGGACCAATAAACAACATTTTTATCAACAGAGAAAAGATTGAAGTTGTCAAGGACTTCATTCATCTTCTGTCAACTCTCAACAGTCGTGGAAGCAGCAGTCAAGAAATCAGACAATATATTGCATTAGGCAAAACTGCTGCGCAAGACCTTTTTCAGGTGTTGAAGAACAAAGATGTCAACTTGAGGACTAAGGTGTGTCTGACCCAAGCCATCATATTTTCAATAACCTCATATGCATGCGAAAACTGGATAGTGAATTAAAAAGCCCGTAGAAGAATTGATACTTTTGAGCTATATTTCAAGAGAATATTGAAAGTGCCATGAGCTGCCAAAAGAACCAACAGATCTGTGTTGGAAGAAATGCAGCCAGAGCTCCTCGGATGCCAGGATGGCCAAATTTCATCTCTCATACTTCAGATGTATTGTCAGGAGGGACAGTCGCTGGAGGAGGATATCATGTTTGGTAGGTTGGAGGGTCAGATAAAAAGAGGAAGACCTCCAGCGAGATGGCTTGGCAAAGTGGCAGCATCAGTGGGCTCAAGCGTGACAACAGTTGTGAGGTTGCCCCAGGATCGGGCAGTGTTGCGTTCTGTTGTGCACAGGATCTCTATCAGTCGGTACTCACTCAATGGCACCTAACACCAGTGCATGCTTCAGGGAGCACTTGTGGCACTGCAGGATAAGCACTAGACTGATAAGCACAGGCTTGTAGTTCAAACCCACCAGCCACTCCTCATCAAAAAGATAAGGCTTTGCTCCCATAAAGATTTACACTCTTGGAAAACATTTACAGGATTGCTATGAGTCAACACCTAACAATATAAATGCATGCTTCAGGTCTCTTATGACTCAGGGTCAGCTAATCTTATAAATATCTGTCTATTTTACAGTTAGCCCATCGTTTCATTTTCAGTATAATGTTAAAACATCATAAATATATTTGATTTCTTTTCCTTGGAATTAACCAAAATTGGACCTGTCATCAGCTTCTTTTATTGGAACCATCATATTAATGTCAAATGGAATTCCTTTTATATATATATATATATGTTTATGTTAGTAAGTTGTAATCATTAAGGTTTATTTTTAGAGTGACTATTTATATCTCTACATACTAGGTAATCACAGGTATTAGGAGTTAGACACACTACTCTCTCATCCTGTAAATACCTCTAACCCCTCAGGTGAATATGCCTCGGCAGCAGATCTCTACCGGGAGGTGCTGCGCTCATCTGAGGAGCACAAAGGAAAACTCAAAACGGATTCGCTCCAAGTAAGTACAAACTCAGTAGTTTCAATTGTAGACTTGAACTGATGTTTACAAAATTATGTTTCTGAATGCTTGTTGTTATTAAGTGCCATTGCGTTGTTTCCCACTCATCATGACCCTGTATAGGGTATCCGAGGAGCAGCTGGTAGGTTTAAACTGTTGACCTTGTGGTTCACAATCCAGTGCTGATTCTGCAGAACCACACCAGAAATCGTTGAATTTTTAGGAGGATATAAATGGGTCATAGATTGACTAAATTCTAATCTCTGGGGTTGAAGTTTGAGATTCAGCCCTTTTAATAAGCACAAAAGATGGTGCTTATATATACTAATATTTGCAAATCACTAGCATTTTTCTGATAAGATAAATCTATTGCTGTGCGCTAATGCAGCAGACTGCAAAGTCGTTCGAACTGCAAGGTTGGTGGTTCAAGCTCACCAGCTGCTCCGTGGAAACCCTACACAGTGGCGCTATGGGTCAGAATTGACTTAACGGCCCTTAACAACAACCACAACAACATAACCAACATTAGGGGAAAAAAACAGCTCATAGTATTTAAATTTCCGGTAGTACTTAAGGGGTTTTTTTTGGTAAAGTTTTTATTTTGAGTTGGATGAATGTTTACAGACCAGACCATCAGTTTTACATTAAACAATTCAAACACATTGTGTTTTTCATCTTATTGATTACAATCCCCTCAGTGTTGCATAACTTATCCCATTTCCTCCCTATGTTTTCTGGTTTTGTTCCTCCTCCTTTCCTAGTCCTTCTGAACTTTGCCTTCCTTGGGTACGTGAAGCCCTTTCAATCTGAACTAATGGATTATTTTAAAGTGTGCACTCCTCCCTAGTGTTACTGTTCCCCTTAGAAACCTGACTGTTGTTTGGCTGAAAATTGAGCCACAGGATGAGTTCAGTTCTAGACCTGAAGAATGACTACGGGCCATAGTGTGGGGAGTTCCACCAGTCTCTGTCTAACCAGTAAGCTTGGTCTCACTTAGGATTTTTAGTGTTGTTCCACATTTTCCCCCCACTTTATCCATGACCATCTAATGTGATCCTTTCAGAGCAGTTGGTAGTGATAGTCAGGCACCGTTTAGTTCTCATAGCCAGGATCATAGAGAGTGATATTCATGTGCTCCATTAGTCCATTGGATTTATTGTTTCCACGTATCTTCAGTTTTCTTCACTCCTCTTTCTTCCGGACACGGAGGGACCAATAGTTGCATCCTCAGTGACTGCTCATGAACTTTTAAGACCCCAGTCATTACTCACCAAAGAAATAGGATGCAGAACATTGTCTTGTGGAGTATGTTTTGCCAGTTGACCTTGGTGTCCCCTGATAACTACAGTCCAAGCTCAGCAATTCATTTCTTCGTCTTAGTGTACTCCAGTGAATCATCTCGACAAGTCTTTGTGTGGCACTGTAGTATAAACACTGGATTGCTAACCACAAGGTCTGCTGTTCAAACCCATCAGCCACTCCTCAGAAACCCTATACAGAGTTGTTATGGGCCGGAACCAACTTGATGGTGCTTAACAATAACAACAATATATCCAAATAGAAATAAGGGCCATTTTTATTAATCTTGGCAAGCTTAGTCGTAAGTCTCAATTGAAGCTTTCTCTTTACCACTCAGGATCTAGACTTTAGAACCTAAGCGTTCATATCACTTTATTGTGTATTAGGAGGGTTGTGTGGAGGATCAGTTAGGGGATGGGAGAAATTTCAAATATAAGTCCATTCATAATCTGCGTGGATAAAGATAATAGCCAGAAGGCAGTCCCTGGACCTTAACCTCATGAGAGAAGGAGAAAGTGCAAAGGTGTCTAGCTTTGCATAAGGAAAGCAAAAGTAGATTGGGCAAGGAGACAGCAGAGACCTGAGTTCCAGGTGTTCAAGAGTAAAACATAAGCAGCCAGCCTGGTTCTTCCTTTTGAGTCACAGTAGCCCTATCTACTGAAAACATGGCCCACTCAGTGTCATGCTCTGAACCCTCAGATGAACTCCTCTGTTCTCTTGGAAGGCAGAACATGTAAGGGGGTAGAAAGACCACAAGTATTCCTCCCTGTCCATTTCACCATGTGTATCGTTGTTGGTTCCATCTCATGGTAACCCTGTATAGGGTTTCCAAGGAGTGCCTAGTGGGTTTGAGCCACTGACCTTGCTATTAGTAGTCCAGTGCTTATCCAACAGTACCGTGTGCATAGAAATGAAGAAACACGAAGCTAGCACTGTTAGTTTCCATGTCTTAATTGCATTTTGTTGTTGCTGTTAAGCCTGTTATTGGTACTAATTATTTTGTCTATGGAGCCATATTGAAAAGATCTAGGGCATTTCAGGTGACTCCTCCAAGACGGACTCTTCAGAAATGCATGCAATGACCAGTAATCATTGGTTGAACAAAATACCCCTGTAGATGACCTCAAACCGTGTACACCCAATCAGATGTTACCAGGGTTCCTGGATCATCCTTTAGTCCTTGGCTGTCTTCCCAAGTAATGATTCAGATTCACAGTGAGAAGCAAACTACTTTTACTTGATTTCTTCTCACAACCCTTGACCCTAGAGGGAGCCTCTAATAAGCTCTACAGCCTCAGAACACAGTGAAAAGGCCAGCCTACATTTAATACAGAGATAGTTTCATTTTCTCTCTTTTTTAGTTTGACCTCTCAATTCCTCTCCTTCCAACTCCTAACGTTCAACGGGTCCAGGTCCCAGCCCTGCTCTCGTGGTTACTTTATGGCCCTCATTTGTATAGTTGCTGAGCTCACCCAGACTCACTTCCCAGGAGAGAGAGAGTCAGGTCTATTGTGCCAGCCTGTCTGCTTGATGGGAATGATCTGACTTAGTTAGCTTCCTGTATACGCAGACACGTGTAAAATAGAAGAAGGAAATCCATCTTCTACAAGATGGATAGCTATACTTCATATGACTGTATGTTTTAATTTAAGAATATTCATATCATTGCTATAAAACTGGATCCAGTATTCTTAGAGTCACTACACTGGTTGTTATCATTATTGTCTTGTGTGTTTGTAGAGACTTCATGCTACCCATAACTTAATGGAATTGTTAGTAGCCAAGCACCCAGGGATACCTCCTACCTTGCGAGATGGCAGACTTGAGGAAGAGGTAATTATTATATATATATTAATATATATATATTATTTCTGTCTCAAAAGCATTTGTTCTAAGTTTTGTTCTCCCTATAAATGTCAGCATGTTTTTCTCCTGTGTTCACTGTTAGAAACTTCCCTGGCAGAGAATGCTAATGCTCCATTTTATTTTGCATCTTTGGTGAAATGCTTACAACTATATGGTAGTTGATTGTGGCTAAGAGTATACACTATAGATTAACAAAAATAGGTGCCCTTGTTGATTTTGTGGCAGATCTGCAAAAGATATAGTTTAGTTTAGAAGAAACATGACATTTTGTAATTTCTCCCTTTGTTTGTGTTATTTAAGGCAATACACAAAATCCAAATTTTTGTTGCTAATTCTTGTGTTTTCCCTGCACAGTGCCTCTCATTAAGTGGAGTGTATAAATTATTTTACTATAAATTGTTAATTGCTTATTATGCTAATTCTCCCAGAGATGTTTGCCTTTTTAAAGATCCAAGAGAAGGAGCAATACTTAAATCAAAAGGATGTTGTTGTCACTTCCCATTGAGTCATCTCTGACTCAGGTGATCAACTCTATAACAAAACAAAATGTAGCCCAGTCCTATGCCATATTCATGACCATTGGTATGTCCTTCCAATGATGAGTCAGTCCCTCTTGATGACATGTCCAAAGTAAGTAAGGGGAGCTGTATGCTGTAATCCATAGGGTTTTTATTGGCTAATTTTCAAAACTACCTCACCTCGCCTATCTTCCTAGTCTGTTTTGGCCTGGAAGTGCCACGGAAACTTGGCGACTATAGATGACACAGAGGCATAGCTTCCAGCATTATACCAACACACAAGCCACCACAGTATGACAAACTGAAGCAGAGACAGGTGGTGGAAATCAAAAGAGTAGATAAGTATGAATCATACTGAACCTCTGAAAGGAGTCTTTGTTGGAATCAACAAGATTTTTAAAAATGAAATTGCATAAATAAGATGTAGTCCTTTCACTGTGTTGTTTGTTACGCTGGAAGTTTTCCATTGAAATTTCTTTGCTCGTGCAGGCCCCAATCCTTGAATTTCATCAGCCCCTCTTCTCTACATACCTTCAGTGACAGGTCTCTGAGAGACAGCGCTAATGACCACATACTAATGTTGTTAAATGCTGTTAAGTTGTTCTGACTCACAGCAATCCTGTATGGGATTTCCAAGGAGCAGCTGGTGAGCTTGAATCACCAATCTTGAGATTCAAACGATCTTGCAGTCCAGCACATTAACCCACAGCGCCACATCATGACTCTCCAAATAGTAATAGTCAAGGAATTTTCATAAAAATTACTTAGAAGGTTATGACAGAAGGAAAAGTACATCAAGAAGAGGTGGAGAATTCATACTTTGCGTAGATGTATTGCTTAGGGGGCTACATTACCACTTTGGCCTAATTTTCATGGAATGTTACATGAAATCTTAGAAATCCATCTATTTTAGTCACTTCCTTTTGCAAATGAAAACAGAAACCCAAGGAAGTTAAATGCTAGGTCAAAGACATAACTGTATTCACTTGAACCATATGAAGCTATCATTTTTATAAATTCAAACATGGTCACATATTAACAATTTTACACCAGGATTTTAAGTGCAATCTTACCTACCAGTCGTGTCCCCCTAGGTAGTCTCTGATCCGCTCTCTTTACTTAGATAATAGTTGCTAAAGGCTGTTGAATATTTCAGATAGATATGGGGGGAAAACATGAATTTTCATAAGCTTTCTAATGGAAGTTTATAAAAAATAAAATTCTCTTATATTTCTACTGCTCATAATTTATCATTTGTTGTTGTTGTTAAGTACTGTGGAGTCGGTTCCGACTCATAGTGACCCTGTACAGGGTTTCTGAGGCTGTAAATCTTTACGGGAGCAGAAAGCCTCATCTTTCTCCCGCAGAACAGCTGGTTGTTTCGAACTGCCGACCTTGAGGTTAGTTAGTCACGGATTCGTAACCACTAAGCTACGAGCCTTCAAAAGGGAAAGAGCTTGTAATTCCCTGTTTTACTGTGGATTCTCAAGTATCATTTATTTTTTAAGCTGATAAATTTTAAGAAGTTTTTAATAATTGAAATAGGTAAGAAAACCTCAAAGGTTTCTCTGCCTTGCCATACAATGTCACAAACTGCTTCTCTGGTTTTCTAATTAAAGTACTAGTTAGAAATTGGGAGAGAAGGGTACACTTATAAGGACCACATTGTTTTTGAAACATCATTCTAAGGTATTTTCTTGGCTTTGAGTGAAAGTTGATGTTTTCCTATGCCAACCCAGGCCAAACAGCTGCGCGAGCATTACATGAGCAAATGTAACACAGAAGTGGCCGAAGCCCAGCAAGCTCTGCAACCTGTACAACAGACCATACGTGAGCTCCAAAGAAAGGTGGGTGCCCAGAATGACATGTGTTCTTACCATGCGTTTCTGTAGGGACCTGTGTGGTTTGAATTTACAGGGATACTTGAACTTTCTTTCACTGTAAAATTCTTAGTACCTAGTACAGTGCCTGGCCCACAGTGCAAGTTTGATTTGCAGTTAACAGTGTTTATTGATGGAATGAACAAGCACATACATTGATAAATAACTGTGTTAAGGTTATTCTCTCTCTCTCTTCTTTTAGATAATGAGAATTTAACAAGTTGTCTTGTGAAAAATATAAAGCCTTTCATTTAATCTTGTTGTTGTTAAGTAAGTGCCGTCTAGTCATTTCCAACCTGTAGCGACCCTGTACAGGGTTTCCGAGGATCTAAATCTTTACGGGAGCAGAACGCCTCATCTTTCTCCCGCGGAACAGCTGGTAGTTTCGAACTGCTGGCCTTAAGGTTCGCAGCCCGATTCATAACCACTATGCTATCAGAGCTCCTTTAATCTTAGGTGTATCTTTTTCCAAAATCTTCTCTTTATCAGATGTTAGAACATTACATCCACAACTCTTTTTCTTACAAAATATATGCTATTTGACATTTCTATAATTTCTGTCACAAAATCTGTTTGTTTTTAAATTAATTACACTTTTTAGTTTTTATAGTTCATTAAGGAGCTCCGGTAGCGTAGTGGTTACGAATCGGGCTGCGAACCTTAAGGTCAGCGGTTCGAAACTACCAGCCGCTCCGCGGGAGAAAGATGAGGCTTTCTACTCCCGTAAAGATTTACACCCTCGGAAACCCTGTACAGGGTCGCTATGGGTCGGAACCGACTCGACGGCACTTAACAACAACAACAACAATGTTCTGGGCATAATTTTCTTAGTTAATATAGATTATTCATTGAACAGAATCTAGTTCAGTTTAATAAAGATTAGCAGCAAGACTTTCATTATGCTGAGAAAGAGTCCTGTTAATTTGGGAAAGTATGTTTTAGTCCAGCTTTATTTTCCAGATATATACAGTAAACTCATATATTCCTCCAGAGTAGTCAGGAAATAGGTGTACTCTTTGAATTATGTATGCAAAAGAGGTACTCACCCATCTATATAAAGTAAGTATATTAGCCTTTGTTACGTTCTAATCCCTGTGAGAATAACATTTATTGTATCCATTAGATTCTTCACATCAACCTTCATGTTGATGTGAGTATGTTCTTCTTGTTAAGTACTGTCACGCTGGTTCCAACTCATAGTGACCCTGTTTAGTTTCCAAGGAGTGGCCAGTAGATTTGAACCACCAGCAGTCCAGTACTTATCCTTCAGCATCACACCAGGACTCTGATGAGAAGATAGTGAATACTGAATATGTATATATATGTGTGTGGGTGTGTGTTTGTAATTATAGGTATATATATATACATATGTATGTCTATGAGCACTAGCCTGCAAGGTCGATTTGAACTGCAAGGTGGCAGTTCAAACCTGCCAGCTGCTCCTTGGAAACCCTATACAGGATTGCTGTGGATCTCGGAACCAATTCGACAAAGGATCAACTGATATCCTTTTTCCCTACAGATTTATTCTAATTCTCCTTGGTGGCTTAATGTGATCCACCGAGCAATAGAATTTGCTATTGAAGAGGAGCTTGTTCAGCGAGTGCGAAATGAAATAACCAGCAACTACAAGCAACAAACTGGCAAGCTTTCTATGTCAGAGAAGTAAGAACATAATAGTAAAAAAAAAAGTGGTTACCCCAAGTATTCAAATCATTTGTTTTGCAGTGTTGTTGTTAGGTGCCATTGAGTTTGCCACTCATACTGACCCTATGCACAAAAGAACGAAACACTGCCCTATCCTGCACCATCCTCACAGTTGTCGTTACTGTTGAACCCATTGCTGTTGCCACTGTGCCATTCCGCCTTGTTAGGGGTCTTCCTCTGTTTTGTTGACCTTTCACTTTACCCATAAGGAAAACTGGCTCAAGTTGGACTAAGTAAAACGTTGACTGCAGTCTCTATAGCACTTTGTTTGACAACTCTTAATTTGAGAAAACTGATGTACTGTTTCTTTCTGTGTGCTGTGTGTGGTGCTGGTGATGGGCGTCAGATTCCATGACTGCAGAGGTCTTCAGTTCTTACTTACAACACAAATGGAAGAGCTAAATAAATTTCAGAAACTAGTAAGAGAGTCTGTGAAAAACCTGGAAGGACCTCCATCACGTAATGTCATTGAGTCTGCAACAGTCTGCCACCTCCGACCCATCAGACTTCCACTCAACTGGTAGGTACTAGAAGGAAGCAGACAGTGAAATGTTACCAGTCCATTAGATTAGATTTTTTTCTGTAGAAGAGAAAAATGACTCATGTAATAAAACTTTTTCATTAGAATTCAGACAGAAGTAGAGAGAGAGGTATTATTAATCTCTAACTTAAAAAAAAAAAAAAAAAAAAGATAAGAGAGAACTGTCAAGGACCACTTGCTGAAATTCTCCCTGAAATGGTCTATGTGTTCGTAAAGAAAAAGTCAA